GATCCGCAATATCGTAACTTGCAAAGTAAAGAAATTACGCTTTTATGAAACATTCTTCAAAATTTTCGTGCTCCGCTGTGTCGGCGAAGCGAAATAAAACGCCAATCGCGTACGGACGGCCCATTGATTTCTCATAACACGGCGTCTCTATCGATGGATGTAGAAAAAAAGAGAACAATGCATGGATCGTTAGAAAGAGAGGGGGATGGAATGGAGGAACATCAATTTTCCATAGGACAAGCGAATAATTAAAATTCTGTCCCGTGCGCTGGCTTTGGCAATCAAATCGTCGATCCGCCATTTATAGTTGCGTGATATCCTGCGTTTTCGTTATTGTCCTTCACTGCTATCCGACTGATAACGCGAGGAAACTCTGAAATCAAATCAACAGTCGGTCGAATGCTCCTCCCATGTGTGATTTATTACAGTAATTAGGATTAGATTGCTCTAATTACAAGCTTCCACTTCGGCTTTGATTACCAATGCTCGTTATCTCTAAAAAAAAGTGTATTTTTATTAGAATGAATGGTCTATTATCGATAATGAGGGCAGTATTATAGTCTTCTTAAAATCAGGCTCGTAGGAGATAAGATAAGTTTCGGAAAGAAAGTTCATTATTGACAATATGAAGGTTTCAAAAGTTTATATTTGATAAGTTTCAAAGTAAAAAACTTATTTGATCTTTGGTATAATAGAGTGCACGATTTTCACTTATTGATAAAATAATGAAAATAATAATTTAAAAAAAATAATGAATAGAAATATACCAAGCCATTAACTTTTCTGTGAAAGTAGTATTTATTACGATTTTTTCCGCGTTCAACACAATAAATTTATTATTTTTTGCAATAATTAATATTTTTCTCGATCTAAACTGATTGAAAATCCATTTTACTGCTGAACCGAGTTTAACACTGACGCATTTGCCGAAAAATAAAAAATTTACACGAATTTCTCGAGCGCTCGCATGGATGAAATTGTCAATCTACCCGAATGAAAGCTGGGAAATAAAATTCCTAAAAATATAGCAATTTATCTGCACTATTATATTCCGCGTCGATTGGTGTGCTATGAAACACAAGTAATTTTGTGCTATTGTATAAACTTTGTGATGCTTAAAATAGGAAAAGCGAAAATTTTATTTTCTTTCGGGTGTTTGGATTAACGCTGTCCTCTATGGAAAATATCTCGAAAAATATACACGGCTTATAGATGAGAAAACAAGCAATGAAACTATTGATAACAATCTGTTGAGTTTATTAACAGAATTTCCTGCGTGCCAGATGATTCGTGCTTGCCCTTATCTTCAGTCATTTCATCAAACACATTATTTCTAACCAACTGTGACATCAGCTCCTAGAAAGCTATAAGAAATGATTCAGAAATGTGGTTTTTTCCTCATTTGAATATGTAGAAATAGATTAGATTAATATAAATACAATTTGACTTGCAATTGAGGTTTTTTTGTTCAAAAAATATTGAACGGAGTTCTCATTGTATTATTAAAGTACGCTTATTTAATTATTCGTAGAAAAGATAACTTTTATATGTGAAATATCTTTATTTTTAAACATACGCTCATACAAAACTTTTTTTGAAAAAAGTTCTATCTATTATTAAATTCAGATGATTCACTGTGTATATTTAAAGATTAGAAAGCTGGAGTTGAATTCTGAATCAAGTCAATTAACCATATTGTATTTCATTGTCATTTATTGAGCATGATGTAAAGCGGAGGTAATAGATGCAAATTGGCTTTTGAATAATATAGTGCAATTAAATTTTAAGCAATACGACTTATCGTGCAGGCCTGGATTACTCAATTATCAACACTCAATTATCAGATACCTGTCATTTAAATCATAAATTATGTTTACGTGTATTTTACGAAAAAAATAGGATTGTGATTAAAATAAAATTGACGATTGTAAACACGACTCTCTCTTAACTTTGCACGTGATGTTCTATTTCATAATCAAATCTAGCATTCTCTAAAGGCTTTCCGAGTTTAGAATCGCATTTGTTCTTTCCGGTTTTCGGAAATTTTCTTTCTGAGCGCAACTTGAACGCGTCGCGGCCGTGTTTAGGTGGAAGCTGGGTTCACGCAGGCGTTAATATTTGCACCGCGATAAAGCCGACGCATAAATACCCACGTCCTCCCCGGTATTAAAGTGTCATTGCGATTAATGCGTCATCGCCGGCGCGTACGAGCGAAACCGCGCGTAATCGCTTTCCGTTACATTAAAGTTTCAGCGGAGCGTCGGACGAAGAAATACCATGCCGCCCGGTGCAAACGTCGCCGTAGCGGAAAATGGCAAAACCGAACCGCGTTTTCCATAAACCGCATCGTTTATTCAGGGAAAAAAAAGGATAAAAAAGAAAGATCACAAAAAACTACCAAAATATTCCGGTGCAAAAATCCCGAAAAAATTAAATAAATGAAACATACGATGGTAAAAGCAAGTTCAAAGAGTTCAAACGTAATTTTAAAGTTTCGCTTATGATTTTATTATTTCAACGCTTCTTAAATGCAAATCGTTTTTACTTAAATGCAAGTTATATCTCCAAAATATCACGTTTTATTATTAGCCTAATAACATATTACGTTAGCGTATTTCAAATTAGTTCATCAGCTATCAAATGAAAAACATAGTAAGCAACATATACAAGTTTTTACTTTGCCTCCACAGGCTGTCCCGTGAAATAACATTGATAATCATCGGTTTGCGCTCATAATGATCGGTTCGACGAACGAATAGTTATGTGGTAATTAGTTTTTCATTCGGCGTGAATGCGAGGCACCTAATTGCTCATCGATTGGCTTTATCTCGCGGCGACAGCTGTTTAAATCAACCACGATGCATATCTGCCGTCTGGTGTCAGTTATTTGGCCATATCTCTTTTTTCCTTGAAATTGATATTGATTGACTTTTTGCGCGAATGACCGATTCGCTGAGATGAAGCTAAATATCGGCCGAAACATTCGAATCGGAACGAATCGCTCGTAAACTATCTCGCTCTGTTGATCGAAAGATCGGCGAAATATCTCGCGATCCGCGTCATATCGCGAATTTAGCGAAAATGCGATTTGATGGAACGTGATTTAATTATTTCCATGAAACTATCAATTTTTTATCAATATTTAAGTACAACGCGCAAAGACGCGAGAGATGTGGCTCACAAAAAAATGCTTTAATTAATTAAATTTCTTTAATTAACGTAAAAATTTGCGATGCGCTTTGCGAAATAAAATCACGTTTAAATTAAGGGGATTACCTTCCGTGAAACTCGTTTCAGTAATAATCCATGTCCCTTATTTAGAAGCATGCCGTAGCGGA